GGTTAAATCCTTCAATTTTGACAGATTAGGTTGAAATCTCATGAACACAGATTAGGTTAAAAAAATTATTCGAAGTATTAGAAACCAAATCCTACAAACCAAACAGAKGAATGRATTTCAAATCCAATCCAATCCAAATCCCATGGAATCCAAATCCCTCAAGGGAATCCAAATCCCTCAAAAACATTCCCGCAAACCAAACGCACCCTTATTTTATCAAACAAGAATTACCGTCTCTTATATAAATGTTTTGATTTTATGTACAATTTAATAATATTATTATTATTATTAATTAAGAGGTCTATGTATTTTATTATTTACTAAGATTTTTAAATTAAAAAAAGAAAATTTATTTTTGAAAACTCTGGTTATCCAGTGTGGTCCCTTCCATTGTAAGAGGTGGGCCCTGCATTTATTGACCCTTGAACAAGCTTTCCTGTTTGTATGGGACCACTAGTACTATCAATTTTATTCATATTTATTTTAGGTCCAAGGGTATAATGGTCAAATGGTATAATATACCCATTATAACTCCATGATGTACAACCAATTATTGCTTGATAATTTTCAGTATGACCATCTTACACTTGAAAGAGAATTTACTTTTGTCACCAAGATTTTGGGTTTTTTATTATTTAAAAATATTTAATTTTGTAGAGAGTTATTGTGCAATTAATGTTGAATATTATTATTTTAGGGTCATCTATACTATCTTATAAAGCATTTGGCTAAAATTCTTAAAAACTCTTAAAATTCTTAAAAACAACCTCTATTGCTTTAGGTACAACCAACCCCCCATTTTCTGCGTATCCCTAAACCTAATCCCATTTTTATCGCCAACCTAATATGCATATCCCTAAATTCGATTTTGATGAAATTGATCATCTAAACGATATCATCGCCTACAGAGTTTTAATCCCTAAATCTCCAAGGCGACGATTCAGCCCCAAAGCGACGATTCAGCCTCAAAGAGACGATTCATAACCCTAGGATTTATAATCGATCGGTCCTCTCGATCCTCATGCTCCTCTCGCTCATCGTTTCCACAATCGATTCATCGTTTCCACAATCGATTCATCGTTTCCACAATCGATTCATTGTTTCCACAATCGATTCATCGTTTCTCTACCTATTTCATTCAAGGTAATAATTAATTTTCCTCTCATACGGTTGTTCATCATCCTCCCTTCTTCTTCAAGTTCTTACTATATGTTCATCTTTCTTCTCCATTTTCACTTCTGGGTTAGGATTAATTGTGTTTCCATCGATCGATTTGTTGATCTTCAAGCTTTTGACTTCTCTATTGGAAGGGATTCAAGATTCTATGCATCTCCACATTGAGGTAATATGTTTTCTATTTGTATTAGTTTGATTTTACCCTAATCATGTTTCTTGAATTAAAAGGACATAATTAAGCCACCATTCCTTGATTTCCTTGCCCTCAGTTCAAGTAGTAATTACTCCATTAACAGTGTTTGATGCAGAAGCAGCGTCGGCGAAAACCACGACACTTTCCACCCGGAAACCCCTCGTTCTTGCACACATTCCCACAGTTGGTATCGCTCACACACGTCCCTTTGAACATATGACTCTGTGAGTATTTCTGTTTTATGAAGCTCAAATGCATATTTACTATACTTGATTTGAAACATGTCAAGATTATGAAATCAACTAGATTACTAAATTGTTATACATAATTGTACATTTTTTTCGGATCGTCTTTTGCCTTGATACCACAAGCACATGATGCACGTAGGCATAAAAAATATATTTTTATAATGCTGTCACAATATTGTTCACATAGTAGTTTCAATAGCCCTTTTATGTTATAGGATTATCTCCACTTGTTAAGATCAAACGAGAATCCCAAAAATGTTAAGAATCATGAGGACCAATCTCATCCATCCCATCCACTTTCATCCAACGGCTTTAATTAACCTTCCATTTTTAATCCAGGAAGAGCATGGTGGTAGTTTTACCAGTCTCRGTTATTTCCCACGATTTTGCTACTCCTTAAWTCTCTCTCATCCAGTATTCTTTCTTATTCGCAAGGACCCTCCATTGCATCTTTCCACTTCTCTCTGATGCTTTTTTACAGGATCCATCTCTTGCATCRTGATAATCCAAATATGATTMTGCGCTATATGCAAAGTTTTGATTGCTTTTTACAGTTTYGTTGTCTYYGYTTTCAACTGAAATTTCTCAAMCAACAACTAATTAGTGTTGATCATCAGATGCACTCTTTTTCCTGGTGGTGCATTGCTTACTTTGGATCCATGCCCTTTGTTTTATTACCTGCATTAATTTGATTTATATGTTCTTACAATTAAGCTTTAAATGTGGTATGCTCTTCTACTTTTCCTCTTTCAGTGGACTTCGGACCCAAGTCAAAGGAATCGTGACTCGGTTACAAGAGAGTGAAAAATGGGTAGAATTACAGTTGCATTGATTGTTAGCTCATGGGTTATACCCATGTCCATCCTTGTCAATCACATTGTTCCTGAACCATACATGGTACMAATATTTACAAAGTAATTTTACAGATCAATTAGAAACTGTTGATATTAATTTACTAAAGTTGAAATGTTGGTATAGGATGAGATCTTTCATGTTCCTTAGGCTCAGCAGTATTGTGTAGGAAAATTCAAGAGTTGGGATCCTATGATAACAACTCCCCCTTGATTGTAAGTTTCACCATGGCTTCTCTCTTTTCCTTCACTTAATTCTTGCTTTTTCTTGCATGTTATTTGTGGGGAAGAGAAATCTGAAAAGTAACCAAGAAAAACCTAAAAGTTCAATCATGTTGAACTTTGGGTGATTCTTTTTCTCCTGTTGCATGCTCACCCCTTCCATTGATGAAATTGATATTTGATGTGTGTGTGTTTATATATATATTATTGGAACTGTTAAGAAGCCTATGTTGAATATGCTTTCATATTAAAATTATTCACAATAGAATAAGAATTCAGATTTAGTATTTTGTTAGATATATAAAGTGAACAAAGCTAAATGTGCTTTGGTTCTAGAATGATACTTGTGTAGTTGTTTAACATTTTCTCTGAACTTTTTAGCATAATGAAAGTTTCGTAAGGGGGCTGGACTCTGGAGCAGGCTACCATGAGACAAGAGATATTTTGGTTGTAAGGCAATGGGCTTAAATCATACTCGCTACAAGACAGGGATTTAGATATTATATGTTTGATCTATCTAGCTGAGACAATTCACTCATTAGTGTTCTTTGAATATTTGATACAGGTACCGGTTCCTCTTTTTCCAAAGTCGATAACAGAAGTCAAGAAAATAATGCAGGAAGGTGTAAATGTGATATTTATGTGAAGACGATTAATTAGACTACAGTTGATGATTCATGATTATATCAGTTATTGGGTCATTTATCTTACCCGATGAACATGGAAATGGCTGAGAGTTAGGCATAACAACAGGGTGGAGGTGGGGTAGGTATTTTAATCCCCGGCCTCGGCTTCGGTCCTTGGCGGGTGTGGGGATTAACATCCCATCCCCGGTAAAACCCCGTAAAGAATATCTGTTAGTTTGAGTCTATATAAGGATTTGTTTGATCTTAAATTACAAAGATGAGAGTATGTATGAATCTTTCATTTTGTTAAAATCAAAATTAGTTGATTTTGAGTTTTTGCATGAAAAAAATATGTCTTATTTTATTCGATCTAAATAAAATAAGACATGGTTTTATGATTTGATTTGTTTAAATTAAGATTTTAATTACATTAAAACAATAAAAACATATCTTTTTTCAACATTACAATAAAAGAATAAAATTAAATTGTATGCTATGTTATACACTACGTTGTATTTGTAATTTTATAGGGCATGAATATGCTTTCAAGTTGGTGTTAGTTTATTGGGCCAACATGCATCTACCAAGAAGTTGTCTATAACCGATGTGTGAACAATGGTTAACTACTGATTAATTTTAGGAAGAAATAGTTACGAGTCAGAAGAACTTTAGAACTTGGATTTGGAGAAAATGTTAATGCAACTTTTTTGTATGGGTGATAGTCGGCTGTAGTTTTCGGTCTCATTTGATATTGTTTATAGTGAAGACAATTGTTCAATTGAAAGAGATGAATTTTCGACGTGTCCATTGTGGATATGCAATCTTGGAAGTCGTATTAATTGCAGCTACCTTGTTGGCAGGAAAAAGGAGGAGGTGGATGCAGATGAACATTACAACATTTACGGACAAACTTGTTTGATGACAATGTTGATCTTGATCAGCCTCGAAAACAATATATCGGATGAAGTCTCATTTTGTGTTGGGTTTTTGAACGGGTGTCGAATTAAATCTCATTTTGTGTTGGGTGTTATGTCGAATTAAGACATCTCACTAGCGTTGAATTAATATTTGAATCTAATGTAGGTACAAATATTGTAGGCTTATGACATCTTGAAAGAATTTGATATTTCAAAATTTAATAAATCTTAATAAATTCCGCCGCATTGCACGGGTACATAACTAGTTTATAAAAAAACGTTTATCGCGTAAACGTCTATCAGTAAGACGTTAAATTTCTTGATCTTATTGGGTAAGATTACTGATCATTAAAATATCATCTTATGCAATAATCTTACTCGGTGGCTGGTAAATAATTACCAGTAAGAGTAGTCAACCTTACTTACCGGATAAGACCCTTGATCCTTGCTTTCCGGTAAGGTAAGTAACTCGGTATAAGTTTATTCAGTTTGTCTTTGGTAAACGCTTTTTATGGGTCGTTTACCAAACACTTATCCGGTAAATGCTTATCAGTAAAATTTAACACTATTATTTTACTTATCGGGTAAGATTCTAGTCCACCAAAACGACATGTATGCAACAATTTATCCGGTAAGTGCTTACCGTGGTAAGAGTCGTCGCTCTTACTTACCGGGTAAGATTCTTGATCATTGTCTCGTTCTTACCGTGTAAGATTCTTGGTTTTTACCATATTAATGCGGTGAGGTGATGTTACTTGGTAAATGCTTACCCGGGTAAACGTTTGGTAAACATCCCCTTAGTCATTAAAATATCAAACCAATAAATGTTGTAAATCTCATGTAGATAATATTTCGGATAATTGCTAAAATAGTAAATAAAAGGACAAATTAGATACTTTAAACGTTAAATCTCAAATATATAATCATTTGTTAAATTTAATGAATTGTTATATTTGTTATACGGGTGCGGAACCTGACAGATACCAGGCTGCCTACTTTGTGTAACATTTATTGCGTCTTCAAAATGTGGACAATAAATACCGATGGACATAAAATTGGAGACACAAGGAGGGCCAATTTTTTGAAAGGTGAAAAAGATATAATCAAGATTAATAAAAAGAACAGCTAAAAACAGTTGCATTTACAGTTATACGGCGATAGATATCGATAACGACATCAACGTCGTTGTTCCAAGATTCAAACAGAAAACGAACAATGAATCACGAGATGCATACTCATCGAAGAACTTACCTGAAAGTGCATATGGATTTATCGCTGGTCGTATTGAAACATGTTTATCAAACGTTAGATTTTTCACGACCATGATTGATCGTTGCCTGGTTTGGCATTTATTTTTTTGAATTTAAAACTAAAATGATTTGAAGAGAGAAAGTAAATTCAAAAGAAAATTACAAACAATTTCCTCGAAGTTGCTCGTTTCTTCGTTTCGATCTGGTGGGAAATAGTTGACTGAATGTCATGAGCCATTAAATTTACCAATATTTAGATACGGATCTGATTATTTGGCGCATATGATCCACAATTTCATGTTACCATATCTAGCGAAAATAGTTAATGGCTTTACTACGTTTATAGTAGATAAAAATGAAAAAAAGAAAGAAACAGAACAATTCATCTCGATAAAGTACTAATGGGGTTAAACGTAATTTAACATACGGGTTAGTTTTGGTGTTTCCGTCGCTATGCAAGCGATAGATGATTTTTATTTCGTTTTGTCTTTTTTTTTCCGAGTTGAAAATAAGGCTTGAAATCCAAACCATCAATCAGTTTGAAAAATGCCAAAAATCAATCACTCAAACACACAAGCAAGTCGAAAACTATTAAACTATAAATCATCTGTGATGTAAAATAATAATTTATATATTAATGATGTTATAAATATGAAATTAAAAATACTGTAAATTGATTCCAAATCCAAAAAAGTACGTCAAAATTCACATAAACATACTGATTTTGAAGTTTGGTTGTCACAAGGTAGGAATAGACTGATGTATTTCTATTTCGTGCGTCAAATTCTAAGAAACAGTCATATCAGATGACTAAAATCCTTTTAAAGAAACTATGCGCAGCACATGCCTCGAACATTGTTATCTTCTCGTTACAACATTCATTTGATAGTTACAATCTAGTATATTTTATTTTATACGTTGTGTTGATTTAATTGCTGCTGTTTTTTATTGTGAAATTTTTCTAAAAAACAAATTACAACACAAGTAAAAACCCAAAAAATATTTATTTTTTGAGACTTCTTTTTGTATAATGATGAACATGTGGTACAATCAAATATGATGCAAATAACAGATATAATTGAGAGACAGATAGAAATACGAGACTATAGTTTATCATGGTGAAAAGTCTAAAAAAACACATGAA